CATCCACTGATGCGCCAAATGTCGAACGTCTTTGAGACTAAAATTGATATTATTGTCACGCACATAGTTCTTCAAGCCTGCCCATGCTAATTCAATTACACTAAGCATGCAATGTTTCATCAGCAACCTATGGAAATAGGTTCAAGAATGTGAAAAGTAAATCAAATCTATTTAACATACCATAAAATCTCGACACCATAATCGCTGGCAACCTCATCAACCACATATTGTTTTGGTGGTAAGTTTTCGAAAGCGAGAACCAACAGTTCAGCTTTAGTAGGTTTCTTAGGAACTGATATATTATGATTGATTAACCACTGGATGATAAGTTCTTTTCGCCATGCTCTTTTTGGAGGAATAGTTTCTTCGGTCAGCTGATTATGCCAAGTAACATTATCAATAATTAAAGCAATCTTGGTATGTCGACCTAAACCAAGGGGGAAAAAGCGGATCCTGCATCCTCGGATCCTATGGATCCTATGAATCCTACAGTTCCTAATGGGTTCTACAGATCCTTTAGGATCCTCTTGAATCCTCTTGGCTCCTGATAGATCCTACAACATCCTTACGAATATATTTCAACATTATTAATAATGATTTTGTCAATCGAAGACTATTACTGGTATCTCATAAATGATTTATAAGTCATATTAAACAAAAGAGTGCTGCTTTGTAACAATTTCCACTGCTGTAGTTTTAATTACATATGTACTTATACTTTGAGAAAAAGCCTTTGAGCCGATAGAATTTTATAACAAAGCTCTAAAAAGGTACGTTGTTCCTGAATATGACTTGATATCAAGAAAAAAGATGATAATGCATGCTCATATTGTGCAATTTTCAAGGTAGTTTACAGGAAAATCTGGTAAACATTGAATTGTTAACAAATATATATGCGTCATTTTTTTATTACAATTTGTACACAAAGTAGAAACGAGCTTGAACTTCTTCCAGGTTAGTTCATTATTTGTATAGGATCATAGATATACGGAACAAAGTAAAGGAGAACGAACTGACTTAATTGGACCATTCACATTTAAATGGTCTTACTTCAATATCTTGTTCAATATCTCACATTGAACTAATTTATTGCATTTGAAATCTAATAAAGATATTATGTATACTTCTTTTTTCTGATGAATCCATGTATTAATTTTCAGGACAAAAAGAAAATCTAACCAGATTATTTCTGAGTATTGAATAAGTTCAATCTGACAGTTTTCTTTTCATTTTTCAGAAGTAAAATATTCCATCATTATAATGTCAATTGATCTTAATAATTTATCTGATGATGTCTTATCCTATTGCAATGATCGTTTATACACGTTTATCGAAGAAAATCTTGGTATCGATGAAATGATGATAATTAAAATGCAATCTATTAATAATGTTAGAACATTAATAAATGTTCCAGATATCATGGCTTTTTTAAGCTTTAATTCTAAAGAAATAATTGAATTAAAACGTCGTATTTGTTTTATTGATGAAGATAATAAACGATTTATGGTCAAAGCTGGAATTCAAACCAATATTGATAATTTAATATCAGTACTTAAAGATAAAAGAAAAAAACAAATAAAACGAATAAAAACTTCTAAATCATCATCACAATCATCAATACAATTAAATGGTGATCTATTCAATGCATCTGCATCAAATATGTTTAATTTAGCTTCTATTGATTCACAATTAACACCAGTATTTTCAACAACACCTAAAATCAATTCACCAAGTTATTACATACAAAAGATTTCTGACAGTATTGAAAAATTCTGTGTCAATACATTCGAAAAATTTATTCTAAGAAATGTAATTGATTATGAAATTCATGTGAATATACTGGATGCAGATATTAATGGGTGCATTAAATGTGGATGTAATACAACCATTAAAATTGTTTTTCGTTCAAAATCAAATTCATTTCAACTTTCTGCTTATTTAAAGCATTTAAAGAACAGTCGTTGTACAATAATCAAAAAGAAAAAACAAGAATTCGATAAGCTTTCTAGTATCAGCAATAACTTATCGAATTTCGTCTTACAGGATGATGACAATTCCAATACGAACAATATTCAAAATGTTTCTGATAAAGAAAATTTGGATGATGAAGATAGCAGTTTTTCAACAATGATCAATAACTCAATCACAACTGCTTCAAATTCTTCTAGAAAAAAGCGATCATTACCACCTCGATCAATATCAAGTATTACCAAGAAGATCAGATCATTATAATGAACATATTAACTTAGATATTTTAGTTACTTTATAATATGTATTATTGATCTA